ATAGTGTAGCGGTTAGCGCGCTGCGCTATGAACCCGGCGACCCGAGTTCGATTCCCGCTCACGGCCAACACCAGTGACGATTATCTGAACCGGTCCCGGGCCTCCCCTAGGTCGACTCAGCCTCAAACGAGTACCTGGTGTGGTGTGTAAACATCACCACTAGGGAGACAAAGGCGGTCGGGCGTGGTGCTGGCCACCCACCCCCTCGTGTACCGTTGCGGCCTTCATAGGTGCTCGCTAACATCACTTGCCCCTACAGTCTGTTAAGGCTATATGTGGGATCTTTGTTTGATCTTTGTTTGATCTTTGTGTGTCTGTGCAGATGTTTGGGCATTGCACTGCTGGCTGAGCCGTGGAGGCAGTGGCTCACAAGGGCAGCGAGCAGCGTGCAGCGGCCGCGATGGCGTTAAGGGGGACCCCGTTCACGCCGGAATGCGCCCGATCTCGACGAATCTCGCGAGCTAAGGAGGTTACGCGAGCCTGGATGGAGCGCGGATGAGGTTGGACGACCTCTGTGCGCAAAACATGGGTTGCTGTATGTTTTTATTTCTTTATTTATCCGAGGCTGCGTTGTGGCCAGAACAATAATGCAGTACAGCAACACGGATTGCTGCACTGAGCTTCTGTCTTCCCACGTGGTTGGATCAATTGCACTGTATTGGCTTTCTCGTGTTGCCCTGTTATATTAATTACATTGGCCTGAAAGTCACTTTTGTGTAGTAAAAAAAAAAATCAGGATTTTTTCACGCACTGCTTTGGTTTACATATATTAGTCTTGCGAAACGCTGTTGACCTGCCAGATGTTATTGGTATGAGCACTCCATCTAAGCACGGGGCCTTGCTCGTACAATATTGCATTTTGCTCGCAAGCAGAGGAGAACATTTAGTATTGATGGAGTGAGAGAGGTACTCGCGAACGCTTCTTCTCAGCTAGATACGGGGCTGCACGTGTGACCACCAAATTAATATGTAACGCCCTTTAATTGGCAACATTATCAAAGAACCGAAGAGGTCAGTCGGAGCGAAACAACAGGACAAGTCATCGGATTAGTGTGTGTACCTCGGCTGGTTACGGCTCTGTGGATGCTTTAAAAACAAATAATAGTTTCAATTGATAATGCGCCCTTAAACAAGCGTTCTCAGGGCCTTGCTTTCATCCAGCAGTGGATGGAGCACGGCTGACAATGCTGATAATGACGATGTTACGATGGGGTGGGAACGATTCTCTACAAATACGACAGTCGCGTAAAAAAAAAAGAATTATAATACAAAATCACGAGACTGGCAGCGTGCGCCATAAGACGGCCCCTTCTCAAGGCTGTCACTCAAACGTCTTTAGCGAAAACACACGCAAAGTACGCTCGGTCTTCTCCCGAAGTCAAACATTTGCTATCGCCGATGCACTGTGAGCGCATACACACTCAAACATGACGGCATCTGACAGTGCGGTTCCCCCCCCCCCCCCGATGTCAGTGGCAACGAAGTAAATCTGCCAGTGACTCCGAGTGACTCGCAGAGGCAGCCGTCGGAATGTGGCTGTAATTTGACGGAGTGGAGGTAGAATTGAGAAATCGCATTTGCGAAGACAAGCTAAAAACTACACGTTTTTGCAAGTTATTTCTGACCGAGTGGCTGCCGCGTGATTGGAAGAATGCTGCCAATTTGCCGCAAATCTGTGCCATGTCCTCGCAGGACCCGGGGGTGGTGGTGGGTTGTGAGGACTGAAGGATTAACTATCATGCTGCTGTCATGCTTTGGTGAGAGCAAAAAAAAAAGTAAATAATTATCTACCCCACCTCCCCCTCCTTCCACCCTCCTCCCCCTCCACCGAGCCAAACAAATGCTTCTTATGCAACCAGCCCCACCACGAGGGTCTGAATTGCCAGTTGTCTTGCAGGAGGTGCTCTTGATGTTAAAGTTGCAATCGAGTGGGCGCGTTATTTTCGTGGCCGAGAGCCTAATCTGTGAGGGCGGTAATGCACGAGGCAGCCAAGCAGGGCTGATAACTTCGCAACCGTCTCTTGTTAAAGAGCTGCCCCCCCCCCCCCCACCTCCTGACCTCCTGACCTCCAAAGGCATATTGAGTCCCAACTATAAGAGACGTTGCTCCACCAGGGCTGCATTTGTATTGCAAATCGACGGTGCACCGCGTTGCGGGTTAGGGATCCCGCCTTTGGTTTGCAATGGTTGGCAACGCCGGACTTGCGATCCAGAGGTCGCAGTCTCGATCATCCCTGTCGGGGCAGTCGGAAGAAAATAAGCGGACAAGTTCTTCTGAGACCCCCCCACCCCCCACCTCTGTTCATGCAGTCCGACCAGTGTGTAAGAATCGGCCAAATGTCATCTTGAGGTTCTTTTTTTCTACATCGGACGCCCTCGTTTGTCAATGTCCTTCCACCAGCAGCGGCGTGAAGACGCAATTGCAGTGCTGCACCTTAACCTCACCCGTTTCACTTCGGTAGGTGTGAATGCCTATTGTTAATCAACTGCTGGATAAGGGCCTACTCCAAAGCCTGCGCCGGTCGTGGGTTTAATCCCGACCCTGACGCCCGCTGTGTATTTGGAGTTTGCATGTTCTCCCCGTGGTCGCGTGGTTTTTCCCTCCGGGTCCTCTGGTTTTTTTCTCCACATTTAGAAACACGCGTTTACAGTATTTGGCTGCTATACATTTCCTTGTGATGAGAAGCCACTGCGTTCAGTTATCATATGTAGCCAGGTCGCTTCTGAAAAAGATCTAACCAGCTCAATGGGCCTTACCTGGTAACATAAAATAGTTAAGTTGTAAATATTCTGAGATCAGGAATGTTACAGATGATTTGGTGACAGGCTGTATGTATATGGTTCATTTCTTATATACGCTGATGCTGAGAAACATTTTATGAAAATATATATTTTCCTTTAACATAATAACAGCCATTACGACACCAGTGAAGAACCACTGACAGGAGAGTCATGTGGCAAGCCAGATGCTATGGGGTCTACAGACTGGAGTGACTGGCAGTATGGGTGCATTGCAGGGTCGGCATGCCCCCCCTCCCCCGTCCTAATTCCACCCACCCTCTTCGTTGCCTGACATCTAATTCTCACCCCTCCGTCCCCTGGACCCCGGTGCAGTCGCACCGCCTGCACACTCGGTAGCCTGTGCACACTGCTGGCAACTGCATGCCACCTCGCTGTGTGTATCCGTGACGTTGATGGGGATAAAGGCGGGATTACGGGGCCCATGAAGATGCAGCGTGGCCTTGGCATCTGCCCCCTGTTCTGTTCGTGCCCTTGCACACCCGCAATGCCCAATTAACGCTGAGCGCAAAATTCCAGCGCATGAATCTCGCGGCTGTTTTGCATCGGTTTACGAAGCTTAATTGGGGAGGCCAGCTGGTGGCTGGACCTGGGCCGTGTAGCCTCGCTGTTATTTTCACCTACAGCGTGCCTTAATTTGACATCAACACAGCCATTTCGGCATTTCAGACCAATTTCACCAAAGCGGGCACCGTTGCTACCTCGAAAAACAATACACATTGCGATTGCAATACGAGAGAATACGATGTGGATTTAAAGGCGTCTTAAATGTCCGGTGCACCTTGAGAACGCGGGACGGGAAACGGTGGGCAGATTTATTGTTGGTAAGACGTAGCCAGATGGGACAACACAAGGACGGCGTTGAGCCTGGATTTGAAGAGGGGCCGGCAGTCGACAGCACGGATGACAGGGGGAAGGCCCTTGCGAACACAGGGGGCAGCATAGTAGAATGAGTGACCTGTCACTGAACGAACGTTGACAGAGGGGGGTGGGAGGGGCCTTCAAACGCAAGCCTTCAATGTGTACTGCTGGCCTTAAGTTGATGGATTAAAGACAATGATTTTCATTCGTTAATTCATGAACGTTAACCGCAACCTCACGTTTCTCTGGCAAGAGAGGCCAATGTAAGGAGAGCGCCGGGCTCTGAGGCTCCCTCTCACGACAATACCGCTCCATCCTCTTCATACGGCCAACAACAACAGAAAAACCACCCACTGACAATGCCATTTCCCAAATCCTAGTGATTTTCTCAGCTTGGGAGCCACCGGTAAGTAAAGGTCTCACATTTTTCACTTTTGTACAAAGGTCATCGTGGTGGTGGGGGTGGGGTGAAGCGGTGGGAGGAATCCCACGAGACTTCTTCCCCCCATCAGTGGCCGCGCTGTAGCGCGGTGCCTGCTTGTTACATAGCTTTGTGGTTTGTGCCCAGCGGCCTGTCTGGTAAATACTGCGGGTGTATTAAGCCATAAAAAATAAGAAATTCGTCTGTTTCACGGTGGATGTTGGAGATCCTGTGACGCTATTCAGAATCTGAATATTTATACTGGAGGAATTCTATGAGCTATGAAGCTCTTTTCACAGATGTCCAGTATTCAAACAACAGTAGGCCATGTGGGCCAATGTCGCAAGTTCAAGCTTGCCAATTGTATTTTAAAAAATACCCACCAATTACCTAATAGCGTAAATCCGCATAGCAACATCATCCCATGCTGGCAGACTCTTCTCGTCTATGCTATAAAATGGTAGGGGGTGATGCAGTAGTTTTATCAGTAGGGGGGCGATGTTGCTACACATAATCCCAATTGACTAACATACGGACACATTTTTTTGTAAATGTTGGCAAATTAGGCACGCAATGGCCTACCAGTTTAAGAATGAGGTCGTGGCAATCTTTACTGTGACTTCGACGGCGAGTGGCATTTTATGGTTAACAAAAACCGCTGTATTAACCCAGAGCGGACCGGCAAATTCGACTCGCTGAACCTCTGTTGTCATTCCTCCCGCTCAACCCATTAGCACGGTTGGCTACGTACGGTGCGAAATAAGTCCAACACACGCACGGCACGTACACACAAGCGGGCGGATGGGCTCTACCCCCTGGCCGCATCACCGCCCAAAGACGCAGAGAGGTGCTCGTGATTTGATTTGATCTCGGAGTCGCTTCCGACCAGCTGCCCCTATCGGCTGGCGCGCGCGCTCACCTCTCACGGTAAGCACGATGGGCGGGCCCGTCTTGGTCTCGCCGTTCCGCTCGTTCATCACCTGCGCGTGGTACGTGCCGGCGTCACCGGAGGTGGCCATCATCACCACCAGCTGGTTCTCGAGCGTGACCACCCTGCGCGTCGAGAGAGGAGGAAGGGAGGAGGTGGATGAGGAGGAGGAGGTGAGTGCTGATTTTTGTCAAGTAAAATCATTATTTGGTGATGCTGCTGCTGCTGTCTTGGCAGTGGTGCACAAGCATAATTAATAACACAAAAAACCTCAACATATTCATCAGTAACACTGTGTGGCTTTAAAATAAAATAAAGATATCATGGGCGATGTATCAGACAATGATCTTCTTAAAAGTGGATAATAAGAGTTGGCACTGTTCACCATGGGGCCTGACGAAAATACGAAAAATCATTCAATAATAAACAAACCCATTTTAAATATTAAGGGTGGTTCTGATACCCAATGGTTACTGTTAGCCAACTAAGCATTCGCCAATTTAAAACTGGTAATCAGAAAACATTTAAACAAGTGGAATTCTCATCAAGCCCCATGGTGTAAAGTGCTGTCCCCTCTTCTTGGTTCTTTCGGTAAAGTCACGTCGAATGGAAATGATAAAATGATAAAAATGAAACAAAATAAAATAATTCTCACGACGTTTCGGCCACAACTGTCCCCTATTCTTATTTTCCACTCCATCTCTGACCTCTCTAGAAGTACGACTGAACCGACGCGTCAAACATTATATATGCTGCTCAAGTAAAGTTGTTTGCAAACGTCCATTGTCGGGCATGGTATATCCACTGCTGGATGAAGGCCTTCCTCAGTTGCCATTGTCCATCACGGTCTTGCGACGCAACAATCCATCAAGCAGTCCCTGCACTTGAGCTGCTGTCGTCCCTCCCTCCGTGTCGTGACGTCATCTAAGGCAAGTGCCCTACCCTGGCATGGCCACTCCATCTTGAGTGTCGACCAGCAGCCATCAGCCCTTCAAGGTGATGTGTCCTACCAAGGTCGAGTACCATGTTTCAGACTTGAGGCACGTTCTCTCATCCACGTCTTCCTCTTTCTGTCTCTCATCTTCCCGACTCAGGCTCCTTTCTGTATGCAGTGTGTTTGTCCTTCGCCCTGTTCGGCGTGAGATGCCTCCTGGTTCTCTGTTTTTTTTCCAGAGCTAACCCCCCCCCCACCCCAATACTGAAAAATTGCTGCAAATGAATGAATTGGGACGACATTCAGCAACATGACCCCCCCCCCCCTTCCCACTGCCAAAACTTGACAGGACTCTTCTGAAAAAAAAACAGTCTTGAGACTCTATGAGGCATTCCCTGGGTAAACAAGTGGAATACAAAAAATAAAGATGTCTTGATGACAAAAGCGATTCTAGCTACCAATCAAAATGAGTTTCAGGAAATGAATGAAGGCTGCACAGTCGGCAACAATGTCAACTTTAATGAGAGGTACACAGCTGGAAACCACACGAGAGTTGTGTGTATGGCTAATAATACTAATAAGCAACATAACATCGTGCATAGAGCTGAACGTTTGCAATCGGTGTGTATCGCATATTCTAGACACGTTCATTGGAACCGTGGGCACACCAATAGATGGACACATATGAATCAGACCCTTTCAAAACACGTAGGTGACTGGTGAACAGGATGACATTTATACGAAAATGTTTTTATAAAAATGCATTAGCGAGCCTTGAACATCAGTCATTTGGGATACAATAATTCGACGACAAAAAAACAATCCCAAATCCTGAGACGTATTTTGACAGATAAGGATACATGTTTGGGTAATCCTATTCTGGAGCGCCTTATTTTTAAACAAGGTGGTCCTATTCAAAATAAGGACCGCCCTATTACATATTTCGGAGAATAGCTTGTAGGTATAAATAAGCCACGAGGGCCGACTTCTATTCAATGATGGGCAATTATTAAGAGGATTATAAGTTTGCAAATGAAGCTTAACTCACAGGACACGATGCGGGTGTCGCCGAGCAAAGCGAAACGTGTGTGGTTTGCAAAGCGGCGAATCGCTCAACGTGTGCGAATAGATTTTGACTCAAATTAAGCCGAAACATTTCTCCAACCTCGAAATAGAAATCGCCGTGAACGCTACCCACGCCGGCTGCCTCTTCCTCCTGCCTTCCGCCCTAATCGACAGCAAGTGATGCAAAAGTCCCTCCGTTGGAGGTCCCTTCACTCGGCGTGACACCGAAACAGACGTTCATTACGAACGACAAAATTAAATAATTTATAGTTCACATCACAATCACTTAATTCACGCTCTCCCCTTCTGCGTGAGACGCTTCCGTGCGTCGCAGCGGGTCGGCGATCGGCCCGTTGCTCCGTTTGCCCGGCCTCGCGACTTCGCGTGCTTTTTCGCTGGAGGGCATTAATAGCGGCGCGTGGGGGTAGGATTATGTGTGGCCATCGTCTGCAAGCTGTCGTCGATTTCGCCGAGGAGTAGACCCTCGGGGTGTACGCAAAGGGGCACGCGGCCAATTGCACGGCCGGCTCACGCGATCGCACAGCTCAGAGCAGCGATGGAAAAAAGAAACCTAACTGATGGCGGGGATCGCTCTTCCTTCTGCTCGAGTGCGAATTTAGGTTCAAAATTGTAAAGCTGCAGCTGAGCTGTGCGGAAGTAGCAGCAGTAGCAGCTTCGATCGCTGCCTTCCTCTGCGAATCATCAATTAACCCACCATCCACCTGCACGCATTTTCGCCCAAAATTGTTAGAAAAAAACAAAGGGTGAACTTTGGGCGCCTGTACAGCCTGGAGCCAGGAGTCGCCCTGCCTCGGGACCCTGTGCTGCGACAGCACCAGCAACAAGGGACGGAGATGGAGACATGGCAAAGCGTTTGTTACCCATTTAAACTCGTTGCACGGAGGGACCCGCTACAGACACTGAAGTGCCTGCCTCAACAGGACCTAGGTCGATCAATGCATTAAGTTATTCACTCTGCCAAACAAGGGCGGGGGGGGGGGGGCGTTGCGCCGACGCAACACGCATGAATGAATACATGAATGAAGGTACAAATCGCGCTGGGCCGGCCCTTCCGCTCCGAATGGCCGCTACCGCCGGCGAGCGGGCGAGCACGTGGAGATGCGCAGTGCGTGGGGAGCGGTTGTGACGAGCCCGCGGCTACCTTCCACTCCTCGTGCCCCCAGCGGGGGTTGGCTGACCCGCTCTCGCGAATAACTATCGAGGAAAATCCGGTTCAATTCACACGATGACACCGCAAAATGCCTCGAAACGACGGGGGGCGGGGCGCGGGTGGGCGGTGGATATAAGCACTTTGGCCATCGTCCAAAGCGATTTCGCCAAGACGGTGAATATTTAATAGCTGGACAAAAGTCACTCTGTACACATTTTACCAAACGCATTATTACATATATTTTCTTCTTCTTCTATTTTTATCGCCCCCTCCCTTCCTTCTTTTGTTTAAAAATTTATTGGGCCGAGTGTGGAGAGTACGCAATGAAAGTTTGATGTCCGAGAATCACGTGTGAGCGTGCACTCTTTCGGAGAGCTGCCAAAACCACGCATTGTCAAACCGCGTGCATTTTTTAAAGCGTCGAAAAAAGGGGGGGGGGCGAGCTCCGTGGGCCCCCCGCAAAAGGGAAACATCGACATCGCGAGAGAGAGAGAGGGAGGAGGTACACGTGCTAACAACATGGCTATGCTCTCACCCATCATCATCATCACGTGTTCACATCGAGCGCGGTGTGTTGTTACCAGCGTGGTAACAAGTGGATTGGGTGTAAACTCCCTGCTTGGCGTTGGTCTGAAGCTGACGTGACGGCTGCGCGGCTGCGTCTACGATGGAACCGCTCGTGCAAGCGAGCTCTTAAAGACAGATCTGTGCGGGAGGGGGCACAGCGGGGGCCCAATGCCACGTGAAAATAACTCGTGTCTCGGTGTTCATTGTGTTAGAAGGGTCTCACCGGGACGGTGACCTGGAAAATAGTTCTGCACTGGAACACCACATCCAGTATCCCTCTCGCCGTGGTCTGTAGCTACGTCTGGTCACGTGCCACTTACTTGAGTCCAAAAGAAACCCGGAAAAATATGTATAGACACGGTACACCGCATTAAATTTACCTCTCGCTTTGGCTGCGGCTACTGTGACCAAGAAAATGTTCAGTGATTATTTTGTCCTTGCTCAATGCCCCAAAACATCGACAGAACTTGTCGAACTAAGGAGGCTTTCATGCAGCAGTGAATTGGTTGACGATGATGTTGAAAGCGGCCAGTCAGTCTAGCCCCCACTTTGGGAACGGGGAATTTCCACGACCGGCTCTGGACATACTCTTAGGGGCCAATGAAATGAGTAACGGTGCCATTGATCTCTGGGGCAGTGAGACCCACGTGTTCACTGGCTGTCAAACGTGTTGTATGGTGCAGTTCAGAACCTTGGACAGCTACACGGTGTGGCGTGAGCGTGAAGCGGCCGCTTCAGTTCCTGCGGCCAGAGTCTGAACGCCCCATGTAGTTCAAGGTGCAACACAGATTCGTGAAAAACAACACGTGTGATCCAAAGGTCAACTCAAATTAAAATCCTTACAAATGTGAAATATCGAAAATGAAGACCAACTGAATCTCATCGCTACCTTGTCTGCAACTCTGTATCCTCAACTCACTACATCTCTGTCTCGTGCCTTCATCTCTCTGATTTCACTGAATTTCTATTTCATCTGTACGTCTTCTTTCTCTCATCTAGTGTCCATATTTCTCTCATCTCGCCACATCACTACACCCTGTCTAGATCTCTTCTGTCATCTTATATAATTTCTGCTTAGGGCCCGCAATGGGCTAGCAAGCACCCCCTCTTGCCTTGAGTCCGCTCAGTGAATTCCTCTGGTGTCTTGGCCATAGACCTCGGCCTCTGTTTGTATGTCTGTGCAAAGTGGACGAATCTAAAGGCCCAGCGATATCTTCAGTTCCGGCGACTTCGCCTCTTCCACTGCGCTCCAGTGCCAACGGTTCCGATTTGAAAACCAAAACATCCCCCACAACATTGAATTGTCCTTACGTAACCACGTTTAACCCGGTCTCACTTCCTCAAAAGAGATAATGAATCTCGATGGGCTCTCCCCGAGTTGAATGAAG